CGGTGTTTGCCATCGGGGTTGGGTTTTCGTCGCTTGGCAACGACGTTGTATAACAAGCCGCCCCTTCCGGTGTTTGCCGTCGGGGTTGGGTTTTCGTCGCGTGGCAAAGACGTTGTAAATCAAGCCCCCCCATCGGTGTTTGCCATCGGGATTGGGTATTCGTCGCTTGGCAACGACGTTGTATAACAAGCCGCCCCTTCCGGTGTTTGCCGTCGGGGTTGGGTTTTCGTCGCGTGGCAAAGACGTTGTAAATCAAGCCCCCCCATCGGTGTTTGCCATCGGGATTGGGTATTCGTCGCTTGGCAACGACGTTGTAAAACAAGCCCATTCACTTCGTGAACTCGGCAACCAGGTTATCGTGATTTTTTTTTTCCCTCCGTTTTTTTTTTTGGGGGTAACCATAATGGTGGTCGAGTAGATCATGTTGTGCGGGGTGGAGAACCCTCACTCCGCGCAAGGGGGATGATCGCACCACGTTGTGTTAAAATGGTCAAGCACCCTCGAGGCAGTTACACAGTGCTTACAACTGTCTCTGGAAGTGAATGCACCAGAAAAAAAATCAAGTCAGACGCAGCTATCATCCGTACGCAAGGAAGTAAGCACAAGATGCCGAACACGCTTAGCAGGTTGGAGCGCACCCTTCATGCGACCCGCCAAATATCTTACGGCGCTTCGCGCTTGGTGATGTGAGAGCCTGGTCCGGTGAGAGCCCGGCGTGCTCCGTCCCGGCTTTGTAGGGATGCGAGGTCAATGGTCTAACGACTACGGCATGCACGACCGTGAGTACACCCCCCCCCTCCACTGTCCCAACGGTTTCCTCTATCGCTTCCACCCTTACCCACACGGCTAACTCTGTCGCTCGCCTGTGCTACCCGAACCGCTTACTCAATCACGCACCTCTACTTCCCAGAACGGCTAACTCGATCGCGTGCCTCTACTACCCAAACGGTTTGATTATATCACTCGCCGCTACTGCCCAAATAGTTATTGCTATCGCTCCTTGTACCAAAACGGATAATATATCTCTATCGTTTTCCTGTACTACCCGAATGGCTATCTCTATCGCTCGCCTGCACTACCCGAACCGCAAATACCTCAATCACTCACCTCAACTGGCCAAACGACTAACTCTGTCTCTTGACACTACAACCTGAACGACAAGGTCTGCAACAACTTGAGCCTTGCGATCTCGATGATCGGAGTGGCCGAGGCCATGAGTCTTGGTTCCAAGATGGGAATGGACGCGAAGGTATCATTTTTTGGAACTCCATTCGTCCACTTTGACTTGGTTGCGCACAGACTTAGTGGCGTATTTGTCATGCACAAGATCAGACCTACATGCAGGGTGTATATGTGAAACGGTTGATTGCGATATCTGTAACTTCCTTCCCTGTCTTGACTAGAAGACGTGAACTGTAGATGCAGATCAGGGTTTGGCGTGCTTAGGGTTAGCTCTTTGAGTAGGAGATCCCAAAGCATCCCTCTAGAGGTTTGCCGCCCTCACAATACGGTGTTGGGCACGCGTATCGAGGATGAATGCGAGTACTACATTCGGGTGGGACAGCTGGAGTACGTCGCATGCATGAGGCGAATGCCGCTTTTTCTCGCCCATTCCTCCCTACAGACACGTTGTGCGAATTATCCATGTGCGTTTCCGCGGCTACTTGTACTCTCCGACGAACTACACAGACTCAATGCCGTCGACCGTGGCAGGAACGATTTTCCATAAACTCGCATTATGTTTTACACCCTTTACTAGTGCCTGTTTTCCATTTATGGTAGCGTCCTTTCTCAATAAACCTGACGCCGTCTGCCTTCGCTTGGAGGCATTGTTTCTGTACCCTCCGGCGTGTTGAACGCTGTTCGGTGTATACGCCGTCGAACCACACGTACGTCTGTGTGAGATTGTTCTTATCGCAACAAATATCACACGTTTCTCGTCATCACTCGCGAACCAAGGTCCTTGCGAGCGTTCTAAACTCGTCGACAGCACGTTGCTGGAGCTCTGAGGCGTACAACCCCTTCCCTGGGGTGATGGAAAACGTCCCCTCTTCCAGGGATTTCCAGGGGGGCTTTGCGGCGTCTTTGATGGAAAAGGATTTGCACCTCGCTCTTCAGGTTTGAATCGTACAGCTTGGTTCACACGACACGCGAGTGAGGATGGCGGTCGGTAGGGTGTACTCGCTTGTGTGGGGTTTCAACACGGAGAAGGCCGGGGTGTGTACTCAGGCCATGAAGATTATGATCGTTGTCTTTGACTAGCTTATGGGGTGTATGTAGGTGTCGTGAGAATGGGAGCAAGCCAGGCGTTGTGTATACGCGCACTGGTAGCGTTCACGTCACGTAAGTCCTGGCATCGTTGGGTCTAGGTACAGGGCCACACGACGCAGAGGTTAGCGGGAGATTGCTGCACGGTGTCCGTCGAACGTGTGGTCATACTCGGGGTTACGGTGTAGTGCTGCCAGATATTGATGCCGAGTAGAATATCGGGTTCGCCTTGACTTTGTACCCCATCCGTTCCTACTAACCGTTGGCGCAGGCGGCGAGTGAGCGCTCCCAGTCTCTGCCGATGGCGGCACGCGCGCACCAGCTTTACTCCCAGCTATGCAACGAAGGGTGGGTGGTCTCCTCGAACAACACGTGTTGGACGTGTGTCAAGCCACTTTCAACTTTCAACGGGCGCTTGTGCTTTGAAATAGACTAGAACCAACGTCAAGTAAACGGGGGCCATGCGTACCACAACACTTCTTCTGCTGATCAAGTGCAAAACGGCCTACTTCGAAATCTGCTTTCTTTTCCGGTACCAACACACAACCCAAATAGTTTAAGGGTTTTAGGCATGGACAAATTGCCGTGGACCCTCGATTCAGATTTTGTTGTTCTACCGAGTGTCCACTCTACGCATTCTTGGTTGTCGTCTCCGCCACGCACAGAGCACATGGCAGCCGTGGAGCTGTTGGCCGCCAGTTTACTGCTCGCGACTGTTGCCGTGCGTGTTGGCAGGAACGCCCACAAAGATTTTTCAAGCATCTACGAGCTCGTTGCCAAGTGACCACGGACGACCGAGGAGGCGCATCACATTGGAGGGCGGGGAACAAGCTTTCTCACGCATGACACGGATAGAACAGCCAGATGTGGACATCTTCAGCGACTGACACTTGCGGCAACAATATGGAGAGCGGCTCAGATGTCTGTTGTCACCTTTTACCCGCGGGTACCTGAGGACGTAGCTCAGAGTAACCACCCCACCCGATGATACTGAAACCGACTGTATTCTGTGTGTAACGTTTTGTTTTCAATACACGCTGCCATCCACCCAACACATGGCAGAGCACGATACCTCACGACGGGGTTTTTCATGGTCTTACTTCGGTGGGGGAGTATTTCTCGGTGGCCTGTTCCTCGTGCCGCGTAGGGATGTATGTGGCAAACAGGAAGGAGAGTGATATTCATACATGAGCGGTTGCGTTTTGGTGAAGATAGCACAAAGAAATACCGCCAGATATACTTTGATTAGTTCAAAAGGCTGCATTTCTGTCGTTTTATGCAGGTGAATGGTGACGCCCTTTGCCAGGGCATTGGTATCCATGTTTGCGGGTACATGCCCTCAGGAGGGCTTAGACAATAGACATAGCTTCAGGCTACGACTTGTCGACACGACAGCATACCGATGTTGGGTTAGTTGGCAGGATCTTGTAGTAAAAGTCTTAAGTGTTTGCATGAACAAAATAGACTAGTCTATACGATTGGGAGAGTGCGGGCTAGGAAAGGGACCCTCCGCCGGAAACAGTGGTCTGCCGTCGCTGCCGTGCGTAATCTACGCAGGAGGAGCGTTCCTTCAATGAAGCGTCCAACTCGCTCTAGTGTCTCGCCAATCTAGACTGCATCATCTCCACAGAGAAATAGCAAGCATCCAGAAAACCTACCAACGCGACCGATCGACACACCGACCAGGAGCGCCTGGAAAAACACGGGGTAATGCTGCGGTAGGGGGTTAACATTTATTTATGGGACAATATTGCACTGCCATTGTCATATTTGTGTCATTTGCTAGTAGGTACGGTCCCCGCCGAAGTCTACGCATTGTTTATTATTTACGGCAAAGTCGTGCCAGCATAATGCCAATCTTCGTAGGGAAATCGACGCCCTGTGCATGAGGTTTGGCTTGGTGGAGCAGATATGTATGGCCTGTCTACTCCACCGACCTTCGAGCCACCGAGTCACCGTGGGTGGGCGTTTCTCTGTATCTACCGGCCCCAATGACGTTCTCGGTGGCTTGTATGATAGCTGTGAGCAGTGCCAACATAATTCCTGTCTCCGCAGGGCAAACGAAACGACGCGCTGTACATAAGAATCTGGCCTGGTGGAGCAGATATGTATGACCCGTCTACTCCACCGGCCTTCAAGCCACCGAGCCCCCGTGGGTGGGCGTTTCTCTGCATCTACCCAACCCCAATGACGTTCTCGATGGCTTGTACGATAGCTGTGAGCTGTGCCAACACAATGCCAGTCTCCGGAGGGCAAACGACGCCCTGTACATTGAATTTGGCCTGGTGGGGCAGATATGGCCGATCTGCTCCACCGTCCTTTGAGCCATCGAGCCCCCGTGGGTGGGCATTTGTCTGCACCCCCTGGTCGGATTGGGGTGCCCGATGGCTTGCATGATAGCTGTGGGCCGTGCCAACACCGTGCGGTCCGGTTTAGGTGTGGTTCAGCCATGTGATGGGAGGTACAGCGGGACTACAGTAATGCCATTTACCCCCCCCTAATGGTCTAATCGCTGAGTCATGCAAAACATAAGAGTACCTCCCCCCCCCGAGACGCTGCACAACATGGTGCGATCATCCGCTTTCCGCGGAGTGAGTGTTTTCGACCCCGCACAACGTATTCTACTCGACGATGGCTGCCGAGTAGATTGTTGTTATGGTATTTGGACCCTTGGGCTAAGATTCCATCTGGGCGGGTAGACTATGATTTTCAGGAATATTGCGACCACCTGCCCAGATTCCAAGTATTCCGACTTGAGGCAGGTAGCGGTACAATTGTTACCAGCAGCAGCAAGCGGTGTGCAAGCGTTTCCCCTAGCTCAGTGTTGCCTGGGAGTGTGAAAGCGAGCGACTGAGAGAGAAAGAAAAGATATACGTAGGGAAGGAAACAGACTGAAGAAGCAAAGCGGCTCCAACCTGCACACAGTGGTCGGACTAGCACCACCTTCGCGTCAGATATCGTCAGATATCGTCACATTGTGATGTGCGGGGTCGAGAACGGTCACTCCGCGCCACATTAAGCACCCTCGAGGCATTTACACAGAGGTTATTACTGTCTCTGGAAGTAGATGCACCAAAAAATATATAGCGTCCCAGGTCATTCGCAGCTACTAAGTGAAGATGCCGAACACCCTCAGAAGGATGCAGCGCACCCTCCATGCGACTCGCTGAATACCTTACTTCGCTTCGCATTTGGCGATGTGAGAGCCTGGTCCAGTGAGGACCCGGTGTGCTCCGTCCCGTATTTGTAGGGATGCGAGGTCAATGGGCTAACGACTACTGTACGACACGCACGACTAAGAGCATACCCCCCTCTGCATGCTGCTGAACCCCTCTGTTCACCATATGTCAGCCAACGAATATGTCGGATCGGGGTGTCTGATAGCTTCTATGCGTACGAAAGGTATGGATCGTTCCAACACAATTCAAAGGCTTGTGGTCAAATGGGGTTGTGTGGATGGAGTTACTGTACCAGAGGGTTACCATGTCTCCTGAGATACTGCGGAGCCCCCCTTTTTCAACCATATCTCTGCGGGCACTGGTCGGATTTAGCTTCACGTAGCTTGCCTGATAGCTTTTTCCCATACATGCACGATGCAATTGATTTGATGTCGATTGGAGCTCTGTGGACGGAGTTCTGCTTCGTGGAGCAAATATGAAGTAGCTCCACCGGTGGAGAAAATAGCATTGATTGCCGTTATATTTATCTCACAGGTATGGACCATTCATTTTAGAAAAGGAGCTCAGGAAGATGGTTGAGCACGGTGCACACCTGGCGCAAGCAACTCTGCACTCATGGATGGGCGTCAAACTTGATAAGTATGGCCTCGTCTGCAACCGATAATTTCGCGCTAACCAACTTTCTCACCTCTTGGCTGGGATTCGGGTCGGGGGTCGGCCACCCGTGGTAAGCAGAAGAGTGTTTTTTCAGGAGGATACACACCAGCCCCATGCCTTTCCCCGCGTACTATAGTCCAGACTGTTGTAGCCTACAGACCAAACAACGACTAAGCACCTTACATTCTTTATTGTGTCTGCCCTCGGAGATATAGTCGATGCGTGCTGGCCTTACCTGTGGGTCTGGTATCTCCAACCATAGGTATCACGGTTAGTCGACCACTTGCTTCTGCTGTCCGACTTCTCCTCTCCTCGTATTCACGACAACTCTCCTCCTTCAGTTAAACAAGAACACCTACGGTAAACTACAGCAGCAGTTCCCACTGCAGAATGGGCCAGGTAAGCAACAGAGGCCACCGAAGAACGGCCACGGACCGGTCAAGGAGTTGTGCTGGACGTATAGTCTATACGTGATTTCGTCCAGATCGTCAACAACGATTGCTCAGCGGTGGGCGGGGATAGGTTCGGCATCAACACCAACGGGTTTAGACCTACTGTAGTGTCGTACAAGGCATTGCGAAGGGATTGTGGAACATAAATGCCTGACTGAGCACCTCGACCACGGGAACGGCGTTGAACCCGCCATCGCCTATTTTGGGGACGCCGACGGCTGTGAGGAGGCGCTGAAGCAAACCAAAGACAGCGACGTGAGACACCTGAACTGCGGTGACGTGTGTTGATGATGCGTCAGCGATGGAAACCTCGGAACCCAGCAGCTGCATTCGGTCGAGCAACAAGTGGCTCTCGCGGTGTTGTAGGGTCTACGCTACATACAGTCGACTCGTCGACGGCACGGTCAAAGCACCTCACGATAACAGTAGCCGATATGTATACTGTACCTACAACACAGCTGGCCGCTTCCGGTTGGTTTTCTGAACCTCACACGAGATTGTTGTTCGTTTTCTGCTGCCTCCCACAACACCATCACTCGTTCTTGCGCCCTTGTAACTGTACCAGGCAAGGACGACAGTTCTCGGCGGATAAAGAATGCCCAAGGCTACGAATCCGAGTTGTCATGGGACGCCCCCATGAAGACATCCCCGTGGTAGGTGCTTTGGAGCTGTTGCCATGTTGTAGAAGCGTAGTTGTCCATACAACTTGCAGAAACAGTTTTGGCCGCGTTGTTATCCCTGTGCGGCATTTGGGAGAATACATGTTGGACAGAGAGTTGACATTTTCCACCATTGAGCACCCGTATTCGGTCTACCTCACCGTAAACGTTGTCGCCCGAAATCTATATACACTTTCCGAAAAGACTCAATTCATAGTGAAGCAGGGTAATTACCTGCCTAACCCCCAAAGGGCTTGTTCAACCGAATTTAGGAGATCGTGATTCCTAAACCGGACGCCATTGTTCTTGCTGGTCGATCCGATTTCGCGCAGAACGTCGAGCACGGAAAGGTTGATCCCGGCCTCGAGAAGTGCCGCCCGCACATGACCACGCATCAAGACCAACATTGTTTGGCGATGCGGATGCCGCGTGCCACGAGGGGTTGCGCCTATCGCTTTTACGAGGCGGAGAGCATGGGAGAGGAGGGGTGTTCCAGGGCCATAGAGGCAAGTCTTGGCTTAATCGGTCGAGGAGCAACGAGCCAAACACTGGGTACGCCCCTCAACCCTCTCTGATCGATCGAGGAGCAAATCAGGAAAAATATGTGGAGTGTGGAGAGTACATTACTACACTGCTGTATATACACGGTTATCGGTCGAGGAGCAAGGAAGCAAACATGGAGTATCTCTCAATACAAACTGATCGGTCGAGGAGCAACGAGGGAACAACGAGGCAAATATTGGGAATGTCCCTCGTTTCAAACCATTCGGTCGAGGAGCAATGATAGAAAAACGTGGAGTGCACTGGAGTGCACGGTGATCGGTTGAGGAGCATCGAGATCACCAACCAACGGCGGTGTTATAGCTCACTCCTCGTGCTATTCGCCCGAAGGTGTACAAGTTTCCATTCACCTACCTCCGGACCGCCGACAACGCCGCACCATCCCCACGGCGTACATTGCTTCTATCTGGGTGAAACAAATCAAGAAGGCATGGATGAACTATCGGGAGATACCCCCAAACGTCCGTTGATGTCAACACGAAGCAC